CAAAGTGGCCAGAAACTAGGCAACAAAAGGATTATGAATTTGATTTTGATTTTTTTACCAATTAATCATTTTTTTCAACCTATTTCCCACTTGAAGGCACCTGAAAAATACTCAACAAACCTAAATAAACTCACTCATGCCTTTGAAATAGCAAAAAACCAGTTAAAAATTGAGAAATCAAACCAAGACCATAAATATTTTCAAGTATTAATTTATATTTTTCAGTTGGATGATGACCAAAAACCACAATTACAAAATATATCTCGTTGAATGAAGTGTTTTGATATTAAATTTGATTATTTTAATTGCTAGAATCACAATAACCAATTTTTCCCCCTCATTATTGTTTTTTTCCCCAATGAGTCACCCTTTCTCTCATGCAGGGACTGAAAAATTAAGCTAGAGAGGAATTGAATTGAAAAAAAAAAAGGTTTAAAAAAGAAAAATAAAGAACTTATTCCTCAATCTAAAAATCCAATTGTTTTTAGATATTTTAGGTAATAAATAAAAATATTTAATAGTGTAATATAACTATAACTTCTTAAAATAACCATATAAGGAAAATTCAAAAATATAAATAATTAAGTATGAATCAAAATTGGATGAAATTACAAATTTTTATTATTGTTTCATATTTTCTTGGTGTTTCGTGCAGGTAACATATTTTAGAGTGTTTAAGAATATAACTATGATTTTTTTAACGTGTTTTTTACTATAAAATACTTTAAAATAATTTCTTTTGAAATAATTTTTTATATCAAAATGTTATAATAGTTTAAAAATACTAAAATATTAATTTAAATTATAAAAAATATTTTTTAAAAAAATATTTTTAAAATATAAAAACAAACCAAACCAACTTCTAATTTAACATTTTCATTCAAAGGATTCCAGAAATTTGAGGGTCTGCCCTCCCCTTGTGCGAATTTCCACGGTGTGGCAAGATCTAAATATCTATCGATAATCCAAGTTTTAGTACTTAATTATATCTTTGAAAATATAATCATTCGAATCCTTTCGTATTAGTTTTAATTTATTTATTTAGTTTGAATGAGTTGAAAAATTTACTAATTATATAGTAACATAGAAAAAAATTCTTTATTTATTAATCTATATTATATATTTTGGAGTATTTAACTAATTAACAAATAACATAGTTTTGCATGGATTTTATTGAAAAATTTTAAAAAAATCTTGATTAAAAAAATATAATATATACTTTTTAAATCTACTCTTTCGAATTATAATTATAAAGACTAGCAGCTATACAAAAACTTAAGTGACTGGGTTTTTTTTTGGTTTAACCACTCAATCTCAATTAAAGTTGTAAAATCTTCGCAATCATTATTGGTAAGGGATGCAAGTAAAACTTCCATTGATCAGAAAACATTATCGTGGGCTACCTGCTCAAATTAGAAGGCCTGCAATCATCTGGGTTGTCTCATGGCAGGAAGGCGGTCCGTGGGAAGACCGCTTGGCCTCAGCCCCTCCCTAAATAATAAAATAATAGTAATGAAAAACATTTCTAATTAATAAATAAATAAGGACTCGTGACATGTTGTTAATTTAAAGGGCGGTTAAAAGTGTGGTAGAAGTTATTTTTTAAATTAATAATTTTAAGTAATTATTAAAAAATATTTTTTTTTATTTTTTAAAATTTATTTTTGATATTAATATATTAAAATGAATTAAAAAAAATATATAAAAAAGATAATTTAAAATAAAAAAATTTAAATTTTAACCAAAAAAAAATGTTCAACCTCACTTTATTACTCGGAATCTTTGATTTTTATAAGGGTGCATACAATAGACTTGGTTTCTGTGAATGGTGAGAGAAATCAAGAAATGGAAAACTCCTATTTGAGTTTTTTTTATATAAAAAATATATATAAAAAAAACAATTTAATAGAAGTGGAAAAAAAATAGCACAGCATTATATTGCTTACAACAACACATTTTTAATGAATTACGTTGTTGTTGGGAATAAACTATTAAAATGTAAAATAGCTATTGTTTTTATTTGTTTTTTATTCATAATATTTATTTTTTTAATAAGTTTTTTTTGTCACATATTGTACATTATTTCAAAATTATTTTATAGATTAAAATATGTATAAACACTAGTTTTTCTTATATATATTTTATTTAACATATCTATGGAATGATAAACTATCAATCCATGATAAAAAAAATTCAACTTTAATTTTATTGTGATAAACTAAGCATATTTATATACTAATCTAATATATTTATAAACTTTCATAGTACAATTTTAAGGTTTTATTTTTATATATTAGAGCTTGTTTAGTTTATCAAGTTGGGAAAATATAATATTAATCTTATAGGTTTGTTTTAAAACTATATGTTTTCATTTATAACCATTTGGTTTGCTTATAGCTTTATATTTTTTATTTAATTTTAAAAGTTCATTATATATTTTTATTTTAAAGTTATAATTTATCTTTTAAAATTATAATTCACACAATTTATCAAAATTTCTTTGAGTTATTGCATGATATATATTTTATGACCTATACTTTTATAAACCATGTTTATATCTTTATTTAGTTTATACATGCATTTTGTTTTTCTTGTTTAAAGTTAATGTTTTGACATAATGTATGAACTAAAATATAAAAAAATATTTATTTTTATCTTGTATAATTTAAATATCTTTGTTTATCAAGTTGATTTATTTCAAGTTTTGCTTTTTGTGGAACTAAAATATTTATTTATAAATTTCATTGGCTGTTAATTTTATAATTTATATCATGTTTTTAACTCGAGAATTGGTTTTTACAACTAAAATTGCTTTAATAAGTACTATTTCAGTGTGATGATCTCACCATCACTTTATATAGTCCTGAATTTAATTCAGTGCATTGAACTTTAAATGGTGATAACACAAAATGTTAATTTATGTATCTACATTTGAACTTTAAATGGTGATAACATAAAATGTTGATTTATGTATCTACATTGAACTTGGTTAAGTTCTTGTTGGAAAAATATTGAAGTTGTAAGATAATGAATTTAATTTTATTATTATGGTAGTTTTGTATGTATGGAATATTTTGTGCGTTGAAAAAATATATTTTGAATAGATTAAATAATACATAATATGACATATATAGTTCAATTAAGAGTGTAAATACACTTTGAAAAGCTTTTAACAAAAAATTGAAAGTTGAAGTTGTTATTATTAAAAAGTTCATACGCGGAAATTTTTTAAATATAAAAATGACATTAAAGTTATCTCATCAGATTTGTTCATGTATACAATATTATTTACATATATGTTGTTGTTTACATATACAAAAAGTTATTGCATTAAATAGATATAATCTAGTAAATTCTATCTAAAAAGATTAGGTTTTAAGTATAATCGTCCGTTTGTGATCCCTTTAATATTTTTTAGAAACTTACTTAGTAAAAGTATTATTCATACAATATTATATATGCATATGGTATAGTTTATAAGTGTAATAATGATAATTGAAATAAACCTAAAAAAAGTAGCCTAAGAAAAGAAATGACTTAAAATTTGTATAAACAAGAGGTGGAAAAAAAATATTATATTAATTTTATAAAGAATTGCATGAGGGGTATTGTTACATCTATTTTCTTAGAAGTAAGGATGAAACTCTTGAAATGTTTAAATATTACAAGAATAAAATTAAAAATCAATTTAACAAAAAAATAAAGGTAATAAAAAGTGATGAAGGTGAAGAATACAAAGCACAATTTGGTGAATCTTGTTTCCAATATAATATTATTCTTTAAACTACTGTTTTTTATTTACCATAATAAAATGACATTGCAAAACATAAAAATCAAATATTAAAAAAAATGATGAGGGTCATATTGACAAGTTCAAGAGCATATCAAAATTTATGGAGGGAGGCAATTTTAACGATTAATCATGTACTTAACAAAGTACCGCATAAAAAATTAGATAAAACACAATATGAATTATGAAAAGGTAAAAGATCTTTCTACAAATACTTTAAAGTGTAGAGGTGTTTTGCAAATATACAAATACATGATTCTAAAAAAGTCAAAATAGAATCTAAAATTATATAATTATATCATTTTAGTAGTACTAGAATATATAATTATACTAATTGGATATCTAATATTAAGAATTTGATATCCACAAATAAATATGTCTTCACACTTGGTGAATCAACTGTTTCATGCAAATTCTTTAGGTAAATATGTATTACTAAATCCATGATAGAATTATAATTTATTATTTTTGATAAAGTTGTGAAAAAAACCAAATGAATTTAAAATTTCTTAGAGGATATTCCATGTTGGATAAAACTAGTGTCAGCTATTAATATCAATTGCAATAATGATTTAGCAATTAGAATGACATAAAGTATTATATATAATGATAAGTCTAGATATATATGTCATGTACATAATATCATAAAAAACACTTGATCTTAAATAGAATTATTTCTAACTTTGTAAAGTCAAATGAAATTATTGTGGATTCGCTAACCAAAGAGAGCTTGTGTATAATTCATCCAAGAGAATAAACTTAAAACTTTTAAAAGATAAAAGAGTATAATGATTATAACAATATCTAGTTGATTGGAAATTATAAAATTTATGTTTAAATAAAAAATTAAATTATATAACATTTTCAATAACACTAAAAAATTATTATTTCCTATATAGTGAAATAAATACTAGTTATAACATGATATCTCTTATTTAACATGTCTTTGTGATTGTAAGCTAACAATTTATACTAATTATTTTTTAACTACAGTCTTGCTATAATCAACTAAACATATTTGTATACTAGCATAATATATTTACTAATTTTAGTTCTACAATCGTTACACACACAGGGGCATGAAACAGGCGATGGAAATCTTAACAAAATTAACTGAGTCGAATAATTTATTAATCAATTTTACCAGAATGCATTGACCTTAGCTAGCTAATTGTACAAGCATGCCAGCCCCATAAATGAAGGCAGAATAAAATGGAAGGGAATGAAATATAAGATTTTACCAGATGATGAGCCTTACACGATTTCTGTGTTTAAGAAAATTAATGCAAATATAGCACAAAATCACCAGGAAATTAACTTCTAGTACGGGGATTTTCCAACAACACTGTCAAACTGCACAGCTAATATCACACAATAATCATACAAATATAAAAAATCAATCACTGCAAGCTCTCCTAACCAGAACTACCATCAATTATTCGATTAAAACTCCTGGCCTGCACTCACAGGCAGGACCCTACAAAAAAAGAAAGAAAGAATGAAGTAATTGAATATCCCGATCTTGCTGGGCTATTGTTGAAATCAATCAACAAGGAATCAGATCAATAAACCATCGAATGACATTCACAGGCAACTTCACTAGGCTCACTGCAAGATTTGCGAGTCCAGCACAACAAATGCAACAAGGGCAGAGGCAACTCAGCACAGAACTGTCATCATCAAATCATTCATTGTCTCAACGGTTATTAATTAACAGTAATTTCATCAAATCTATTTAATAAACAGAAAAATGAATCGTCAATAGATTAAGAGATTTATTAACTTGGCATAAGATCCAGTTCTAAAGAACCGGGGAAAAGGAACATGTCTAAATCAGTAGCAAGGAAAATATAATGCAAGAAGCACGAACTAATTAAAAGGAAAAAGAAATGAAAGCAAATTCCTTTTTTCTGTTCGGGTTGAGGAGATTAAGAAGAATTTGCGTATTCTTAATTGGTTTATATGTATATCAAAGATGCATTGGCATGAAGTACACGAGAAATGCAGAGTATATTAATTACAAAAAAATTAACAACGCAGATGGGAATGGAAGGGAAGACTCACCCGATAACCCAAACAACAGCTCCGATGAGAGACAAAACCAGAGCAATAAGAGCAAACGGCAATCCAATCAAGAAACCTAAAGGCCTGCAATCATCCATAATGTATAATCTCTCTTCTCTCTCTCTCTCTCTCTTTCCGTCTATTTTTATCTTTCTTTCTTCAGGTATCAACAACACAGGACAAATTCCTTTTCGCCAACAAGGATATATTTGGTGTTTGGCGAGAGAAAGGGATCCAAAGCAAGAGCTTAATTACAATCATTATCTTCCCAAGAAAATTTTAATTTTATAGTAACATGCAAATGAGTGCAGGTTGCACGCGGAAACCTTGGGCTCTGTAAGATTACTGTTTTTCCAAAACTACCCTAATAGAAAAAAATGTTATTTTAAAGAGTAATGGGTATTTTAGGAGTGTTCCTTTAAGTTCAAGGGTGTGAGACTTTTCTTCAAAGTTCAATTTCGCACTCCTGTTGCTCTCGTACGCTTCCATGGGGAAAACAAGACCTTTCGGGATTTAGAACATGATAAATTAGATCCCATGGATAATACAAGACCTTTCTGTAGGAATAAGCAGGGTTTGTTTTCCACGCTTATTTATCTTTGCCAAGGGAAGTATTCACTTGTTTGCTAGATAATACGGTTTGAGACCTATCCCGTAACGTATATCACCCTATATGCAAATAAATTCATCTTTCTAACTCTACATTTTGCTGATGATCTCATGATCCTTATCAATGGAGAATTAAATCCAATGAAACACCATGTACAAGACATGGAGTACGAAACGCATGCCATTTCCATGACACAAAACAGGAAATGCAACTCGAGCCTAAGAACTAGTGGGCTAGGATGTGCACTCAACTCTTCATTTGGGCTCAGTCACTGTACATGATCCAAGGCTCTACTAGACCCAGGCAGGGAGACAACTTTCAAGGAGCTCGACTAGACTTCCAAGTAATCCAATTGCACGTCAACAAATCATTTGGGCTTCATATTGGCTTTGGGGTCTTCACCAGTTTGGGTGAGACTTTATACTCAGTTATACATGTTTAGAAGTCGTCCAATACCCAACATAACAGCTTGGCCCCAAGCATGCAAAGTTTCCAATAGCTTGGTAGTAACAATTATTTTTTATTTAAAATATTTTTTATTTAAAAATAATTTAAATAAGATTTTTTTATTTTTTTAAAATTATTTTTTATATAAACACATCAAAAAAATTAAAAAACACCAAAAAAATAATTTAGAAGCAAAGACAAAAATAAATATAATTTATTTTGTTTTAAAAATATTTTTAAAATACAAAAATAAATAGCTCTCAAATATCTTCCAATCATAATCAGATAGTTAAATCGGTTTATTGTAATTTTACATCTAGTGGATGATTTATATAATAAAATCACACCACAAACCATTAACAAGGAAACTAAACACATGATGACTTTTGCTCTAAAAATGAATTATTTTTGAAGTTTTGCATGGTCTTGGAATTTAAAACTTGTTTATTTTTTTGTTTTAAAAATACTTTTAAAGTTATTATTTTTATTTTTTTAAAATTATTTTTTGGTGTTTTTATATTGTTCTAAAGTGCTAATGTTAAAAATAAGTTTTTAAAAATAAAAAAATATATTTTAATATATTACTAAATAAAAAATAATTTAAAAAATATTCATTATCATACTTCCAAACCTTCCTTTATTAACCATGTCATTGTTGAAATTTTTTAGAATGCTCTGGTTTGTGACTCGTCTATTTCTCTAGCTTCCTTTAGGGAAAACAAAAAAAAGTGACTGTAGCCCTCTCTAAAAGTAGCCAAAAAGACTAATGTTATCTCTAGCACCCAAGCGATGCTAGAAAATATTATTTTTTAAATTTATTTTTAATATTAATATATTAAAATAACAATAAAAAACTAATTTAAATTAAAAAAAATTAATTTTATGAAACTTTGGTTACACTACTGTAAAAAATGAGGAAGAATGGTTGTTGGTGAAGATGAGAGGGAAGGTGCATGTTTACAAACAAATGTGTTAATCAATGTGTAATAAAAGTCTAATATGATCATTGTCAAGCTAATGTGTGTTGCGATGTTACGGTCGCACATGTTAATTACCTTAATTTAAAACACAATACACAAGATAGTATAGTGCAAGCAAGGGGTCGATCCCACGAGAAAGATTTTGTTCAGATTTTTATGCTATACGTTATGTAATTTGGGAGGGTTGATTTGTGATGATCTAAAATATAGAAGAAATTAAACTAGCAAACAAAATCAATTGAAATCGAAATTTATCAAGAAAACAAACCTTGATCGCAAGCACACATCCACCAACGGAAATTAGAACCGATCCTTGAAATGAAACTACAATTTATATTCTGAATTCTATCTTTTTTTAATGTTGGTTAATTAACGAATCCATTCTATAACTAACTGATTAGTACTTAAAAGTGCATTTTTATCATGATTTTATATCATCATTTTGCACTTGAAGTATCAATAACTCCTTAACTAAAATATGTTTTATAATAATGTATCTAATAATATAAGATACCTATAATTTATGGTAAATGTCTATTTTTAATGCAGATCTATCACATAAATGAAAGGATTGATTGATGACTTGAAGAACTTAAATTGCAAGGATAAAGAGATGGCCAAACTTAGAAAAGAGATGTCGGTGCAATCCAAACCGGAACACTGTTCGGTAAATGGGTCATATCTGGAGCTATATATCTCAGATTTAGGTCAAATTTATATGGATGGAAAGGTAAGACATAGGCCTACAACTTTCATATGGAGCCCAAGATCTAAAAAGGCCATTATCAAGTCCAAATTGTAGCAACAACAAAGAAGCCCGAATCTGTCTTCCAGCCCGAGCACTGTTCGGTATTTTGGCCATATCTAGAGTTCTAGAAGTCCAAATGAGCTGAAGTTTTTACACAAGAAAGCTGAGACAATTGCCTACAACTTTCATGTTTGCAACTGGCTCCAGTTTTGACGTTATCAATGACGTTTTGGGCAGACAAGAGAAGATAAGGATTGTCACCAAGTCAAAAGTTGGTCACCCACTTATCAATTAGTCATCAAATCAATAGTTCCCATTTTTGGCCTATAAAAGGAGGCATTTGCCATGCATTTAGGCATCTTGGTGTTCAGATCAAGATCATGCTCTTCCTTTCTCTCTTTGTATTTTTTATGCTTTGTTTTCATTAATATTAAGTTTATGCCTTTCATTTCCTTTCCTTTACTTAGTTAACTTTTATGTTCTTATTTTGTTTATCTATTTTGCTTTCTTTCATTATGTCTAGCTAAGTTAATTATGTCAAGGTGAAAAGGTTACACTAATGGTGTAAGAATAAGTATAATGTAAACTTAATATGGACTTTAATGTTTGATACTAACATGTTTTATATTTGCTATCTTGTTCACTCTTTAATACTTTGCTTGTTAAATGACTAATCTTGATTTATGTTGTATAACACTTGGTACAACAAATGCTTGGCACTTTCATAGCCCATAATGTATGGTATAACCGACACCTGAGCTATGAAAGGAACTTGATTTGTTGTTAACATAAGTTATAATCATGAATGCTTGACGAGATTTACAAGTATTAGCATTAATTGAATAAGATGACTAATGTAATCATGTTAACAATATATAATCTGATTGGAACCTCCTTTGTGTGTGGTTTCCAATTCAATAATAAGAGTTTATACTATACTTGTTTGATATACCATTAGTGGAACCTCTAACCTTGACATTTGTTATTATCATTGTTTAATCGTTACATTAATATTCCATCTCAAAGTTCTCATCATCTTCTTCTTCTTCTCTTTCTTTATTATTATTATTATTACTACTACTACTACTACTACTACTACTACTACTACTACTACTACTACTACTACTACTACTACTACTACTACTACTACTACTACTACTACTACTACTACTACTACTACTACTACTACTACTACTACTACTACTACTACTACTACTACTACTACTACTACTACTACTACTACTACTACTACTATATTAAACAACTACTCCTAAAGAATGAAGAGAGCATGATTTTTGAGTTTGTAGAGGAGAGAATTTGTGTTTATTCTCTTCTAGCTTCTGCCTCCTTCTGCTCTCCCTTTTTTCTACTGGCTGCCAACCCCTTCTCTCTTTCTTTTTATATACCAAGAAACCCTAGTCTCTATTTTACAAAATAGTCCTCTCTTAAGTTGGCAGTTTACATTTAAGTACTTCAATAACTATTTTTCCTAAAAAGGAGAAGCTAAATTGATGATATAAAAACTTGGATGTCGGTTTAGAAGCTTTAGAACATAATTTGGACTCGTTTCTTCACGAAACCTGTTTGTTGGCAGAATTCAGTTGTCATATTTGAAAAACCATATATCCCTCATATGACATTTTGTTTTGCTAAAATTTGGAGCATTTATAGACCTTTGAGTCAGGAATCCTAAAAAAATTGAGTTTGCATCAATTAGACTTCTATAGCTTCATATATTGAATTTTGAATGGACAAAGGTCAATAGTGGCAGAATGCGAGATTTGACTTTGAAGGATGTGATTTCCATGATCTTTCCCTTTTATTTTTCTTGCATTACATTTACAGAAAGATATAGATCTTAGCATTTTAGTGCCACTAGAATTACTTCATTTCGATCTCTAGAACTCACGCTCTGCATAAAACATCGACTAAACATCAAATATGCCAATTACCTCCAATTTACTCCTTTTTGCATCTTTCATCCAACAATGCCTTCAAAACATAAAACAAAGAATATCAAGGTATTTTATATATAAAACATGGACAAAACATTAGGTATATGTGGATGAAACTATCAAATAATATGATTACATCAAATACCCCCATACTTAGCTCTTGCTCGTCCTCGAGAAAGGATAAATAAAATTAAATTCAAAATAACTATGATCAATCTCTTAATCTCCCTTCAATGTCCAAGAGTACAAGAATTATAACTAAGACTATAATAAAAAAAGATAAAAAAAACATAATTTTTCATGAATTTGTTTACATGCAAACTTCAAAACTCAATCAATCGTCGGGATTGAACTGAAATCTATGTCATGCCAAAGTGATAGGTCCTCTCATTGATATACATTTTAACATTCATGTGTTTAGGGTTTATGTGTTTAAATCTCTCAAATTCAATCAAAGAGTATGTTCTATCATAAACTTTCTTTTCAATCTCATCTACATTAGCAACTTATTACAAGTACTACATGAATCAAAAAGTCTTATTTTCTGGTTGTAATGAGGCTAAGGTTAAAGTGAGGTAAAAGAAAGTAGAGCATTCTG